CAGTATATATTGTGAACATAATTCTAGCATTTATAAATCCTGCATTTTATTAAAAATATACTGTTAAGAACTGAGGTACTATTTTGATGCTCGTGTCTGCTAATGAAATGTTGGGGCACTCACATACACCAGCAGCTCTAGGACTAAACATAGTGAGCTAACCACCTGCTGAGACCATCTTCAGCATCGTATCCTCTACCCACAACACATCCAGATCACAGCAGATGCTCCCAAGGCTGATTACATGGGTTCACATGAACTCATGGTAGACAGTCAGTGCAGATTTTTTTAAACACTTCCCTAGCATATGGAAGATCACGTTAACAATTTACTCTGCTAAGTAACAATGTAGAAACCCCCATATGCTCTATGCCAACAAGTATGATACCCAATCCTGAGAAAATGATGTTGCATTAGTGACAGAGCAGAATAAAGCAGATGGAGTGTTTTCAAAGGAGAAAAATTTTCCTTTCTCCCGTCTGTGCTGCTGCACAAATATTTTGGTTTTCAGGCTTATGGTCTGGCTTCTAACCATCTATCATGTTTCCTCTGAATTTCTTCCATATCTTGACTTCCTGACTACTACCCTTGTCAAAAGTCCTTATTTCCAAGTTCCCCCATCTTGGACTCCAACCAGAATCCTCACCAATAAGTCTTAAACATTAAAGTATGGGGAGACTGTGCCATTACACCATTTACTCTGGTTTATTTACAGTGATATTTCATGAAAGCACTACAGAAGGACAGCAGTTTTCTCAGAACTGGTATAATTAAACCAAATCCAGGTTTCCCATCTGTGTTGAAAGCTCAGGGAGATGCACATAACGCTTATCTTCCCCCACATCACTAATCAGTAGTCTGATGGAGGTAAATGATACCACTACAAGGTCATCAACCAACACTACTTGCTGTTTTACTGTGCCATGCAGACCCTGCATATCTACGTCCAAGTCACAGCCATAGCTTACTCTCAACAACCTCCAGATGCTCTGCAAATCTCAGCACCTGCTAACAAAGTCACCTACAATCAGTGTGAGATAAATTATGTGAAAAAATATAGCTCTCCTGAGATATTATTAGAAGAACACTTGGCACCACCTACAGAGGAAGGACCAAAGTTCTTGAATGGTTGGGAAATTATTGTCCTGTGACTGCAAAACCAATCATTAATTTTGTTATGCCGCTGGAACCTTACCCCCACTGACCAGCAGTGCTATGGCACCAAAAAAATCTCACTGTAGCTCTAGATAAAGTTCCTTACCTTATCTGCACTATTCCCTGCACCACGATGTTCATTAAAAGAACCATAGATGCGACAGGGACTGGCAAACATCCTCTATACAATTATTACTATGGGAGTGTTTTCAGTAAGAAGGATAACTTAAGCAAGCAGAAATACTTTAAAGACTTCACAGTCACTGCATGGCTTTTAAATGTCTATCTCTAGGCACCTTATGTAACACATAAGTTGAAATGAATTGCGACTCAAAGTCCACAGAGATAAAGTTCACATAAAAATGTTAGATTAACTGCTGCTTGCTCCTTGATCATTTACGGATACAATACATAGCAGCTTCCTCAAACTATTAGAAAAATCACAGATCCCTGAAAGCTTTGCCAATTTGTCATACTACATTTTCCTGAATCCCCCATGAGGTTTATTTCTAGATGTCACTATTTTTAGTATATCAACTGGAATTCAAAAGAACAAATGCAGTGACCATTAAGACAACTTTAAGGTGATAAGGTTATTTAAATCAAGCCTCAGGGTATATTATTCACATCACCATTTATAGAGAACTCACTTTTACTCCCTTCCAACTGCAAAGACCTGAGATAATCTACTCATGATGCATACCAAAAAAATTTGCAGCTTTAGTTTTGTTCATATTTGAAAGTAGTATTAGGACTGTTTCTATAACATATTTAATTAACATGATAAATAGTATATGAAGCTTTTGAGGGAGCTGTAACACAGAAGAAATCATTCTGTTAGATTAACGGGTCTTTTTTGATCTTAACTCTCAACTTTTAGAGACCTTTTTACAAGTCATTATAAGAGAACTATTTTTTCTTTCATTTTAAAACTGATGTCAAGAGAATCTTAGCTGAACATACTGAATATATTTTCTGCTTTAGGTAAAAATAAATTATTTTTTTACTGCCGTACATAAGCCTCTTAGATAGGTACTTTCAAAAACAAAAATAGCTTTAATCAAAACAGAGAAATAATAGTTCTTGTTAATTCTTGCATGTGCAAAAGAATTGCAGCACCAAAAATGTTAGCAAGCGCCTGCCATGCAGAGATCTTGCACTTCCTAAGTTTCAGTTCCTTTCAGTTACTTAGCAAGAAATGTGATGGTCACAGCATTAGATCTAACACTGTCAGAAGCAAGAGAGCACTATAAATGTTCTGGGGCCACAGCCTTGCTTATGGAATTTATATGGATTTTTGGAAACAATAAAGAAATCTAAAATAAAGTTTTAAAACCAGTGATTTACTTCTGCTGTAAAACCTACTAATAATCAACTACCTTTAAGAGATAATTCTCAGATATATCTTCAAGCTATACCAGTATTTTTGAGAACTTTCTAGTTTTCTTTCACCTTTGGTTCTGCAGAAAGGAATGGAGGAAAACAGTTTTCCAAGGCTTTAAAGAAAAGAAAAAAAAAACCTCAGTAATTCCAGAAAGAACAAAAAAGTGGTTTAAGTCTGAAAAAATCTGGAATAGAAGCCCTATGTAGTTGGATCTCACAAGTAAGCAGGCTTGTTAATGGGTATGAGAGGTGAAGTGGTGGACCTGATCTCCCTATTTTAAAACTAAGTCAGGTAAAACATTAGACTGCTACTATTTCATTTATGCTGGAAACAATGATAAACAAAAGGTTTACTCAAAGGTATCAAGATGCAGAATCTCCTCTGACATCCCCTCTGACTAGAAGCCATCAAATGGCATCAAATAAAAACCAAAAAAAATAAAGCTCATCTTGCCTTAAATCATTAATGAACTAATATAGTTAGCTTAAATTAACTTGGGATTTTACCCAAAGTAAGCACCTGAACAGTCCTGTGAAATTCTGAAGGATCACTCATATCCTCAAAGTGAATATGCTCCTAATACTCTGCTGAACTGGTGTCTACATTGATTGCAGCCCAGTGGTTGCATCATGTTCCTTCTATGTAATTTTCAGCAATTCTTAATTCAGCGTTTTGGAGGAGTAAGGGAAATGACTTTATTCAGTTAAGACTAGTAATTGAAGCTTCATCTCACTTGTAAAATAGGAAAAAATGTTAAATTGCCAAATGACTGCCTATGAATAAGATTTAAAAAAAGGCTTTAATTATTTTGTAAATTCTCTCTTTGTTTGCTTTCAGCTAGAAGCTAATTAAAATAGCTAAGCTTAAATATGTAGCCAAGTTTTAGTTATCAGTCACATGTTGAAAAAGAACTGACAGGTATGATCAGAAATAAACACAAAATGGAAAGAAGTACAGAGACAAAAGTCAATGAGCTAAAAGTTCACATACAACAGCAGGTTATCTGTCATTGCTGAAAAGGGTTTCCTTTTCTTGTTAAGCTGCATAATACAAACTACATTCAGTATGAAGTTTTAGAGTCACATGCATATAATTAAAAGATGTATTTCTTACTCTGGTAATTCTAGTAAAGTAACTTCAAGAACAGTTTGATATCAGTTTAGATCATACTTAGCAGACTGTCCTCAAAATTTTCAGGCAGAAAGGTATACCATTTCTAAGTACTTTAACTAAAACCTGAAAAGTGTTTGTCTTTTAAATTTACATTTTTCTTTTTAATATTTTTTCTGATTTATTCTAAAATTTTCCATTACAGTAGCCTTATTCTGCATATGAACAGAAAGATCTAAGGTAACTAAAAGCTTTCAAAACCAGTGAAGTTACGTTAAGAGTCTGACCTAAACCTACAAAACCAAAAAACAGTCTTAAAGGCTAAAAGGAGTTGTAGTAAAAATTCAATGGTACTTCCTATTCAACACATTTCAATTTTAGTATTTTTAGAACATTATACTTTCAAAGTCTAAGCTCATTTACAGTTTAGCACATTCTTAAAGACTTAAGAAAACCTTGAAAGAAAGTATGTTAGAAAAAATCTGCAACCATAGGGAAGAAGTACCATTGCTAAAACATATCATTCTGGTTTATGAGAAACTGTTTTAGAACGTCTCTCTGTTAAAAGTGTCTCTTTCCTTTTTCTTAAAGCACCAGTTGTAATAAACCAGTCTGTTAAAAGTAATTCAAAATGTTCTTTCCTGTGCACCCTGAGGTAGTGGCTTTGCTCAATTTTCTCATTTTAAAAGGAAACTTCCACTTTTTAAATTCTCAGTACTTTTCATTTTTCATATGATCTGCAATATAATTATACATCACCTGTATGCATTTACTTAATGTTAAAATAAATTACTTGATCAAAAAGACAGAATATAGCAGGATAGGAGGTATTCTGGCCAAAAGAAAAAGCCTAAGGTAACACCCCAGTTATTCTTTCAGTATCATTCTGGAGAGCCTCCTTGCCAAAAAAATGAAGGACTTGTTGCTTTCTAAAAAAACATGAATTCCACTACTTAACCGACAAGCATTTTATTTTTCCTTATATAGTCAAAATACGCTTCATTGTTTGTATGCATATAAATGTTTCAATTCTGGCTACCTACTGAAGGAGTCATAATTGCAATTGGACATTTCAATCACACATGGTAAAGAGCACATTCTAATTAAGTCTACAGGAAACAGATTAGTGCTGCCATCTAGTTATAATTAAACTTTTCTCCACTGCAGAAATATACAAACACTCTGTAAAACACTTGTCTAGATGATTTACCCCAAACAAACAAGAACACTCAGAAAACACTGCTTGCTTTTATAGATCTCCTCCAACCCCTGAGCCATGAGGAATTATTCTCAACTAACACAACTAGTTAAATTTGCTTTACACTGGTTTTAGATGCTACAAAGAAGTTACCTGTCATTAATGATCCAGTTGAGACACAGATTGAGGGAATTAAGGTTTTTGCATCTCTTGACTATTTCCATCACCGTTTCATTGTCCAGTTCTGTGATATGACGTAGATCCAAGCTGGAAAGGTTTCTTAGCTATTGAGACAAAGATGACAGAAAGAAATAATCTGAATTTGTTCACATACATAACTGTTGTAAGAACTGTTAAACTTTTTGGAATCACATGTAATATATGCAAGCTACTCAAGAAAGATGAGATTACTATATTTTTCACAAAAAGGAAACATAACAGAGATATTCATAGAATCCAACTTTAGCAAATTTGGCACTCAGTTACTCCACAAAATCAAGACACTCTCACTCATGGCCCAATACATCTACAATAGGGGCCAAGGCCTTCCTCCTTTTAACTATATGGGGTATAAGATACCAAGGTAGCACACCAAGTCATTTAATTATATGAAAAACAGGGGAGGAAGGGGAGACAGCACATTTGTGCTTAGATTCAAATGCATATGATTGAAGACTCCAAAGTCTAAGGCTTTCAAATTAAGTAAATATTACAAACTCCCTGGAAAATACAGTATTTATACTGTAGTCTCCCCTGCACAGCCTTCAATAATAATTTGAATATTCTGACAAACAAAAGTTGGAGTCACAGAACAATACGATTAAGATTTATGCAGTGATTAAACTGATTTATTACTATTGTTAATCATTGTAATGTCCTTCAAAAGCAAACAAAACCCTCTTAACTACTTTTATGAGCTATGGATTCAGAGAAGAAAATTTTTATAGATTTCTGCAGTATCCTTAAACAACAGATCAGTTTAGTCATAATAACCCCCAAGTGCTGTTTGCTTTTTAAGCTGTCTGAAATAATCTCTGTTATGCTCTGGAAAAATAATTGCATTAGGTAATACTGACACTTTAATTAAATTTACCTTCCCTGTAAGAAAGAAAAAATAATCCTATTCAGTGGTTTAAGTCACTAAGGATTTGATTAAGTAAAGGCATACAACTGAGATCATATAATTGGCCCACTTCAGTAGTTAATTATTAAGTCAATGTATTTAAGGAAAAAAACAAAAAAAAAGGGGGGGGGTAAAAAGAAAAGGGAAAAAATAGGACTTCAAATGTAGGTAGTCTTCTACAGAAACTGGTGTTCTTGTGTTTTGTTCCAGAAGCTTTTAACATTCTCCAAACTAAAGCTGAAGATAAACCACATACTGCTTCCAAAAATTCTGCAAAACAAGCATAAAATTAAGGAACCTGACCTCTGAGAAACAACTGCAGGGTATTGTCTAGAGGAAGTAGGACAATAATATTCCTGTTATTAGGATACTACCACAGGTGTACTGTGGAGGTGCTTGTTGTAATCCCATTGAATTTCTGATAATCCTACTTGCCTATTAGGGAGAAAAGCACATAATGATTGATACTGTGTTGGTAAAATGGACAGATTTTACAAGCTCTGCCTCTCTGCATTTCATACATACTGCTCTAGCAGGAAGTTTAAAAGACATACCTTCTACACACTCAAAAAAAGCTCACAATCAATCCCTCATTTCTTCTGCATAGATTAAAAGAAGGGGAATAGCTTCATACAGCTATTGATATTAGATACTTCAGCCTTTAGACTATGTTGGCAATAACATGGCCAATGTCTATGACATAGAAAATAAACCTACTGAACAATTCAACAATGTGTATGTTCTATGACAGTAAACAAATATTTACCAGGAGACATCAAAGACATGTAGAAAATCTTCCCATTAAAAAAAAACCAAACCCCAAACCAGAATTCTTAACTAAAACATGCTTTCTTTCACAACAACAGTCTTATGAGCAGGTGACAATACTGGTGATACTTTTGTCATTATTATTACTCACAGAGTAAAAAACATAAACTTACACTAAGGATAAAACAATGCACAGAGGTAAGTGCTTCTTTAAAAAGTGTCTAACTAACATGGCTTCAAATTAGTTAAGAGGTAACAGTAGAGTACCTCACTGAGGCAATGATGAATGTAGCAGAAAAAAATTGTGATTTCCCAGGAAAAAAAAAAGACTTTTGCTTTGCATGTGTAGACTCAAAAACCAAACTGAATTCCTAGTATTCCTGTTGACCAAATCAATAGGGTTTCCAAGGTAGATTTTAACCTTTACCATCACAAGAGAATGATCATTCCCTCATTGTTTCTTTCGTTCATACTAATAATGGTCTACCACTATATTCAATATACAGTAACTCAACCATCACTTGCCTTTTTTACTGTCACATTCATTCATTTTGAACAGCCTGCCTGACACCTGACCTACTTGGTAGGTTAATTCTTTTTATCAGGCACAATGTACTCGATCCATAAAACCTCACTGTCTTAGAATTTTGAAGAAACTGCTTCAGACTGATGCAAACTCAAGAATAATTTGATCTATACAACCTCACTATTGCCATTTCAGATGAGTGAGCGATTTTCAAGAGCTGAAGTACTGGATACACATTCCTTTAATAATGGACCTTCTGTCATGATTTTGTATTAAACTGAACATGACAGGTGAAAAGAATACCCCTTTGCCTATTTAAATTTGAGGTATCAACATCTTATTACAGGTAAGAGAATTGTTATAAATGTATATGTAACCATATTTCATTAAAAAAATGGGATGGATACTTTAATGACAAATGTCCTATTTTATATTTTACCTGGAAAAGCAATTGTAAGGGGTTAATGATAGAATGCTGAATTCTTTATTAATCACTAATATTATAAAAAAAAAGGGCAAGAAAAATTACCTAAGTTTATATTCTACCTCTAACCCTCACATATAAAAGTAGTATGATATAAAAAACATTAACAAATTAGCATTTTTCCACAGGAAAAGGATATTCTGTGACTTAAATACACAATCTTAGGGCACCAGTATGAATAAAGTTTTTCCTTTTTTTTTTTTTTTTTTTTTCAATCAAAAACAATTTTCTTCATGCAGCAATACCATTTTATTGAGCAATTTCAGGGCCATTCTTCTACAGATATTCACACTTTTCTTCAACTCTTACTTTTATAGCTCTACAAAGAATGTTTAGCATGAGCAGAATTTAAACTTTGAACTCAGCTCCAGCAGACAAAAATGTTTTAACTGAAGAAGGAATATTTAATGTGACTATAAAACAGACAACGCCAATAGCAGGCAGATGCCTTAAAAATACAAAATAGAAAATAAAAGAAATAAGAGAAAGCAAGAACAGTTAAAGTAATTTTCGGTGCTACATATATACACAACCTTGCTGAAATTACTGAATACTGACTCAGTATTAAAATTGTATGAGATAGTGTAATAATAGCATTTAAGTTTCAGAGAAAGTCTAGTTAGATGAATGAGATTAGAAGGGAACAGAATATGTTGGTCCCTTCCTCTCAGTCCCACTAACAGAGAATTGACAGCCTGGTATGTAAAGGTTTTGTGAAGAGATTGCCTGTTAAAATGTACTGAAAGGGAATTGTTCTACTGTGAATGACAGATGCAAAAGAACCACTTAGATTACAAAATGGTTTTGGAAAAAAGGAATTCTGAAAAACCAAGCTTCAGTTCTTTTAAAAAGATATTAAAATTAAAAAATTAAATACTATTATTTTTAAGAAATTACCTACTACCTTTGGATCTCAAATATTTTGAATTATGATAAAATAATTTTTGTTTAATAATTTTGTTGACTGGTTTAAATGAAATCTTATGGAAGTTGATGTATTTAAAGATTCAGAGATTATCATACTATTTGTGCGCCTGAATGTTATGCAGTTTGTAAGACTTCTGTCTTGATTATTGGAACTTGTAATATTAAAATATGTGCAACCCTAATCAAGAAGAGAGAGCATTTGAAAACTATCATAACCAAAAGAGAGAGAGAGAGAATATGCCTGTTTTGAGACTGCTGAAGTTTAGGATAAATTTTGTATACTTTAGTTGACAAAAAATTACTATTACCATTGGGATCACAGGTAATTTTTCAGTGTGGGTGTATCAACTCCTGTGAATATTTAGCTGTTACTGTAGGGGACTACTAATATATTATAATATTATGATAATATAATATTATTTTTTGGTTGGTTGGGTTTTTTTGTTCCCCCTACGCTTCCACAATTCCTGTAGAGATACGCTTCCTTAAAAATCATAGAATAGAATGGAATCATAGAAACATTTAAGTTGGAAAAGACCTTTAAGATCGAGTCCAACCATAAACCTAACACTGCCAAGTCCACCACTAAACAATTCACATAAGATCAATCCTCTTCAGAACTAAAGCCAAATTATTTCTGAAGGAAAGTGTTCATAAGGTCTTAATGAGCTTTAAATTCACATCTTTCACTAATTAAGCTTAATTTTCTTGAAACTCTCTGCATATACATGCCTTCAGGGAATAAACTGCTCTCTGATTTAAGCCCCCAAAAGCAAATGTACGATCACAGGAAATCAAAAATAGTAACCTACAAAAATTGTAAATCACATTCTTTTTATTATTATGTCAATAGAATCTATAAACTATTTTTTAAAAAGTCACATACAATAATTATTACTTAAGAGCTGAAGTAACTGAAATATATTATTGAGATAAACTGTGTTCCTGAAACAGTAATCATACATGGTTTCAAGAATTGGAAAATGATTGAATAGTTTAATGGAGAAAACTATTTTCCCATAGACTGATTTAATGTTCTGCACATTCACAACTTTAAATTTCATTTCTTAAAGTTCAATATTGCAGAACATTGAGCTTCCATTGCTTAAATAAGTACACGTTCAAAATCTGTGTTTTAAGCACAGAGACATAATTTGCATTACTTACAAAAAACAAGAGAAAGTTTGTTTAGAAGAGTGTAGGTATTTGTAAAAAAAACATGCCTGAGGAAAAAAGGGAGTTGAAAAATATATGTTAATTAAGGAAACAAATTTATTCAATAGATTCCTTTGTTTTGTAATGTACGACAGCAAAACACAATAGGAAAGTGGATGACATCTGTATTCAAGCTGCTACTCCTTCCAAGATGACAGATAATAATTATTTGGGGTTTGATTTTTTGCATGCATACTTTTACAAGTTATGCTACAAAAATAAATATATTGCCCTCCTTTCTAAAATTAAGACCCACTGTAGAGACCCACTTGCACATACATAAAAACTGCACATATAGTATCCATGCTACAAGACTTATTTCAAGTTTATAAACTTTAAAAGTTGCTGTTAAATTACATTATCACTGATTCATAGTTTACTCACTCTGTTATTTACTCTCAAGTACCTCCAATCAACTGTTGTTTGGGTTTTTTTTTTAAAGTTTCACACACCCACAGAGCACTGAAACCCTTTCAACCATGCAATCAGTCTTCTTTGCAATGCATTTTTTACTTCACTGCAACGTGAAAGAAACTGCAGTTGGGTACAACTATCAAATTCTTTAAAATGATGAAAAGAATCTCTTAGGAGGGACTCAGTTAACTTCATTCAACAAAATGGTCAGCTTCAGTTTGGTAAGATGTAAAAAGGTTCTCTTACACAGTCTATGGCACTACATCATTTAAAATTTCAAGTCAATCATCACAAAGAATGTCACAGAATCACTGTTCAAAAATCCTTACTTAATGACTTTTTCCTATCATTGGAAGACTAACATTTAAAAGGACCCTTTGTATGTACATACAGTACCTCTGATCTTGCCCAATAATCATTATTTACTTTAGGTGCATTTTTTGTAGTTTATAACAACTTCAAGGATAAAAGGCACTAGTGTGACAACATGGTTTTGCTCAAGAAGCAAACTTTTTTTGAACATCACTATGTTCAGTAGAAAAATAATGAAAATAAACCCTGAATGCTTCTTCTTTTTCTAAAATATACAACATTTTCACTCCATATCCCACAATTCACTATTAAAAAAGCTCTGTGGTTCAGCTGCAACATAATTCAGAATTTTCAAGTGCCAGTATTTTTAAGGAGAGCTAACATTACTAGGGGAAAAATACAGTAACAAGAAACCACTCTATTTTTATACATCCATCAGCCTCAAAGCAATTTTACAACAGAGGCCAGTGCTGTTATCTCCAGTTTGCACACAGGAAGCAGAAGGACAGAAGGGAACTAGGTCTGCACAGTCTTGTGGGACACACTCACAGGCCACATAGAACAAAGAACAGATTCCACATTCTCTAAGAACACGGGACTGGAATTATTACTAAGCACTTATGAAGTACTAGTTAAGAACTGAACACAAGAAATACACTGACCATAAGAAATACATGATGGTTAGAACAAAAAAATTATGTCACCAGCAGATGAGTTCTGGAAAAAGACAGATGCAGCAGTTAAATATCATGTTACTACTCCCCAGTTATTTGTTTTAACTCCCTGCTGAAGCTTATTTCCTCAAAAGAACTGTAGAAATGGAACATGTGTCTGTGCTAGCTGCTTCAGTGCAATTCAGAGTTTTAGTTAAAATTGCCTGCTGTACTATGAGGAAGTAACACCTGCCAGAGGAGCCAGGTGGAAACACTACTGAAGTCATTGCAGCAAGATTAATCAGGTATCACTTGTCAATAGCTTCAGAGTAAAAAAGCCTGAAGTCCAATACAGTTTCCCAGTCACTGTATGACTGGGAAAATCTTTTACTCGCTCTTTTTCCCCTCAATATATACGGCATCATCCCACCTGCCTATATTACATGCATGTATACCTCAGCTTAAAGTAGCAATAAATGTAAAAAAAAAACCTTGTTATTGCACACAGGAAGTCACTCATATATGAAAGAATACTTAGCAAACCTTACAGAAGACATCATATCAGAGAATCATAGAATAGTTTGGGTTGGAAGGGACCTTTAAAGATATCTAGTCCAGTCCCCCCGCCACGAGCAGGGACATCTTCAACTAATCAGGTTGCTCAGAGCTGCATCCAACCTCACCTTCAACGCTTCCAGGGATAGGGCATACACAGCCTCTCTGGGCAACCTGTTCCAGTGCTTCACCACCCTCCTCATAAAAAACTTCTTCCTCATATCTAGTCTGAAACTATCCTCTTTCAGTTTAGAACCACTACCCCTTGTCCTATTGCTACAGGCCCTACTGAAAAGTCTGTCCCCATCTTTCTTATAAGCCCCCTTTCAGTATTGAAAGGATACAATAAGGTCTCCGCAGAGCCTTCTCTTCTCCAGGCTAAACAACCCCTAATGTTCAGTGTTATCACATCACTGTCTCTGCAGTATTAATAGCCTACAGAAAGTTTTTATAGATGGAGGGGAGGAAACTGGAATGCCCAAGTCTCAAGTCCCAACAAAAAGCACATGCACCAATTACTTATCCCATATGACTTTTTTCAAGTTTGTGACAAAGCAACCTCCTAGATATTTTCTGAAGGACTATGTACAACAGCGTCACTCCTATGTAAATCAGGATTTCTAATAATTTATTATTATTAAACCATATGAAAATCAGAACTAAATGTTAATAAGAAAATTCAAGATCTTGACTTTTCTTTAATCGAATAAAGGGGATTATAAAGTCACTTGGTTGAAGGATAAGACATCTATTAAATACTCAGTTAATCTAGGCCAGAATAATGCAGTAACCAAAGCATGCACCTGAAAAGCGATCTGTGTGGGAGTTTCCCACAAAGCCTTGGACTACATAACCTGCCCTATATCAGACTTCTAAATTATACACCTCCTATATTTATACTGTGTATATAAATATAACCTATAGTTATACATATATAGTTTTCATAGGACATGAAAATTATTGTATTATTTCTCTCTCCTGCAGGTATATGCCCCTTTTATACATCACTTCAATACACACAGAGCCCTTTCCAAATTGCATCCTTTGAGGTGCTATAACTTTAGCATGCAAATTAATTTCTCTGGCTTATTTCTTTTTGCATGTGTTCCAAAATGTATTCAATTCTTCTGTATCTTCAGCTACTGAGCTGCCCTAAACTGATGAAAATATTTTACAGAAAACCTGAATGGTTCTGTACAACAAGAGGACTGCACAGTTCCATCAAAAAAATTGTATTTTCTTAAGGCACGTTCTGTTTTCATTAAATATGCTCTCCACTTGCTACTTCAAGATCTCTTTAGCCATTTTCATGTTTACCAGAAATTTTCATATTCAATACCCATTTCTACAGTCATCTTTACCAGTTATAATATGTTCCATTTTCCCATTTGAACTTTTTTTTTAAGTTCTTAGCTATAAATACTAATTTACCTATTCCAGATACAAGTTTCCTGTGTTCTTCCTTATGTCTGCATGATCCCTGAATATACTTGCAGTTACAAATTTTAATTAATATGCTGTTTGTCCACCTCAACCAAGTCAATTCGTTTTATTGAATTCTTCCATTATTTTCTACAGGTTCACTCAAGTTAGTTCACCCACACATCACTCCTCTTACATAAAAGAAAAACAATAGGAAGTAAAAGCTATCTGTCACACTATCTGTGTTAAAATACAAAGAGAGATATATACAAAATGTATGTGCATAGGGGATATACTGTTGCAGTAAGGGGTCTGTCTAAATCTCTTGCACTAAGAACTTTGCAATTCCAATTACGAAGTTTTGTTTTGTTTGCAATGGAATCTGGTATAACTAGGCATTTTAAAGATATTTCTGAGAAAAAGTATCATCCCTTAAATATAGTTTTGCTACAGTGTTTTAACACAGGGAAATCTGAATGCATCTGCTCAAATAATATAAAGTTCATTGATCCTGAAATGTTTCTATCCATGACAGTATTATTCATCATATCTATAAACTTATACTGGCTGATACCTATGGCTTGGCAATAGTCAAACACACTAATGACCAGCTAAAAGTAGTTACAATACTTACTTTGGTGAGGTGAATGACTCCTTTTGATGTAACAGAGCAGCCCATAAAACCAACATATTGCAGCTCAGGACAATGTTCAGCAAAAGCCCTCACTGACCGATCTGTCACCTGCAGAAAAAGATATACAGGTAATAGTTGAATAGGTGATATGAGCACATACTTAATACAGTCTAAAAAGTTTCTCTGTAACATTGGCAAGCTTATTAATACTTTTATTATTATTATTATTATCACTAATATTATTTATTGCAAGATTTTGAGAGAAAACATCAGGTACCCACACACCTCTACACATATGCATGAAAAGGAAGGAAAAAGATCATCTTTGGCAAAGGGGGATCATCCTCTTGGAGGAGGAGAAGAAATGGAAGAAAAGAGAGAACAATGGCCACAAATTCAAATAGTACTGTCATCCTGTTTATCTGCAAATAACCCAAGAAACCATTCTACCCACTATTCCCATAAACTATATACAGACATGAAAATACTAACAAATTTATGTTATTGCCATCCTGCAGACGCATGCTATACCCATCATTAACTGCAGAGAATTTGAATTGTGTGATATCTTAAGTTTATATTCCTTTTCTAAGCATTTTTACTAAAACAAAGCAATGGATGATTTTAACTTAAAGATAATATTACATCTGTTTCCCACATCAGACTTGTATCTCATGGTAATATACCATTCTGTCAGTTATCAGTTGAATGGAGATGTTACTTAGTTTATTATTGTGATTTATTTCTATAACTATTTTTTCTTTAGAATTAAGTTTTTCTAATAAAATTTCATAATTACATAATTACAAAACACAATCCATTGCATAAATGTAATGCTTTGTAGGTAGACTATTTAAAAAGGACAACCTCTTGTGAACTTTGTGAAGAATATAATATTGACGTGGGTACACTTAAGACACCTGCATATCTTCCTTTACACAAGTTTTTGGGGTTTTTCCTGATAAGTATATATTCCCAATGCAAGTGACAGCAATGCAAAACTCTGTATTGATTTGGGGATAAAATCTGTATTTTCCAGCCAAACTGCTCAGGAATGTGTCTCTAAGTCTGGAATCATAAATTCTGAATGCCAAGGACATCCTAGGTTTATAAGAATGTCTTGTTGTTACCACAGAACTCAGAAGCAAAACAAGTTTTGAAATATCTAGTCCACAGCTGAGTCTCAGGTGAATACATACGTAGGAACTTTATTCCTGATGTGCTATGGATCATCTTTATCCACAGTTCCAACATGCCTAACATGTCACTTAACTGCACACTGGCAGCATATGGCGATCTTGGTGAAGACTCTGGCAAAATTATTTTTGAAAAGATAACCCAGAGATAAGGGAGGCCAACAAGATTATAGGTACACCAACACATATCAGCTGTATCGGTTTGGGGTTACTGAATATGGTTATAGGTCTAATGCAGCTTTCTCAAAGCAAGAATTTCTCAGTGAGCAAAAATTTTTATTGTTGCACATCTGCCAAATAAAAGGCAAGCCTTTTGGGATTCTGTATGTAGAAGCCAATGAATCTGAAAACAGGCCAAAAGGAAGGGAAAGAGGGTCAGCTAACAGACTCAATCACAAATTGCGTAGGGATCATGTTGTATCTGCACAGATGCATCTCTTGGGTCTGCCTACTTGAACAAAAAAATCCAGGGTAGTAAGAAATTTCATCTTTGATTTTGATTTGACATGATCTTATATTTTTATTATTGCACATTCATCTCAGCTGAGGACAGCCACACCAACTATTTGGGAATTTTAAGATATTAACTATTAAAAACCTTTGACAAATACTATCAGACGTCAAAGCCTGAAGGATTTGAACTATTTAGCATTCTACCAGCACCACAGTAGGGGAAAAAAAGAAGTTTATCTCTTCTGTAGAAGACCAACTAAACCCTCTGTTTCACCTAACAATCTAAGAAAAGGACCCTGATACAATCTCACCCTCCTCTCTCTACAGAGGATTAGAGTATGATTCCCTGTGGCAGACAGGTTTGCCCTAGCTAGCAAGAAAATATGGTAATGAAAAATCAATAGCATAAATCCAAACATCACAAATTCATTACAGAGCTTAAAACTTTAAAATACAAATAATTTCTTACATATAGCTGACATTTGGGTGCATGAAGACTTTAAAAAGTATGATGCTTTCAATGCAAATAATAAAACTACCTTAAAATATATTCTGTTCCTACTACGGAATTTTCTGCATTCTGAACAAAACTTGTGAAAAAACAGTTTTGCTAAAAGTTAGTAACAGTAGATTATGACAATATATATGAAATCACTTCTAGATTAGCAGTGGACCTTTTCAGTGCTCATTAGATATGCAGCATCTATCTAGTCAGAAAAAGATTCTTCATTACCTCTGTATGCCATGCAAGCCTCATGATTTTCCAGGTAATGTGTCAAAAGTAGCGTGACATTACCTGAATATGCTTTACAATTACTGTGACAGAAATCACCACATTAGACAAGGATTTTGCTACTGCAAACTGTGGGATAATTAGAAAAATAGACACATAGTGAACAAGAGACACAATGGGGCTGTTCAATCTGAGCCAGAGGTACCTGCAAGCAGCAGGCCTCAAGGATGCAGCGAAGGCTAACTGTTGTTACAAAGTTTGATGAAACAAGCACAAAAAGCTAAACAAGATGGGCCTACGTGACCGAAAGTAGGACACCTGGCAAAACAAAGACAGGAGGAATCGTTCGCGTGATCAGAAGACCTTATCCAATCGAACTATTGCTTTAGGCGCGTGAACAGCACATGTTAACCAATCAGTAGATGGCTTGCGCATGGCTATGGTATATAACCAAGTGTTACACAGCAAATAAATGGAGAAATCGCTTGATCCACAGTATCTGTGTTGGTCCGTTTCTCCCCAGGGCGAGACCCTGGCGATGCGTCGTTTCTCCTAGATTGTCGCGACGGGAAAGCGGCACAAACAGCCATTTCTGTTCTTGAATTTTGACTTATGAATAAAATAGCAGTGCATTGAACTTGTTGCTGTCTTTAAGTTCAGTTCAGTAACAGATCCACTCCTTTGCTGTCAGCCAACAAAAATCCACCACCTGCAGAAGCTGACTTCAAGTTTTATTGGGAAACATTGTAAAAATTTTCTCAATCAGCACTGTAATCTCATAGTCAGCATTCTTTGCTATACCAGTGTCTAGGACTATATTACTTCTTTTTCAGACCCTATGTCATTTACAGCAATTGATATTTTAATAACATGATTCCCAACCAGACAGCCTGTAATGAGGGCCACTTGATATTCTGTTTGGTTAGCTATTCTCAACATATGACCACACTCTCCTGTGATTGTATTAGTTAGGAAGGAATATATACATATATATTTCTATATATACATATACACACACACACACTTGCAATTTCACAAGAATGGCTTCTCGTAAAATGAATACAAGATAACTATGTATAGAAACATCAGATCAAACCACCTGTAAACTAAATATCTGATGAATGGGTAAAAAATAAAATTTATATAAGATATTTTTGTCTCCTTTTTGCATGGGTGGGGGAGGAGGAAGAGGAGGAGGAGGAGGAGTTTGGAATTTATTTATAAACATATATGTAGCATTATACTCAAATACAATCACCCAGTTTTCAATTAGAATAATTGATAATTGAATTCTATCTGTCCTTATTTACATACAGCTCAAAAAACATAATAAAACAAGGTTTGTATGCAGAAGTATTATTTTTCATTAGACCTATTTGTATAAGGTAGAAAAAAAGTAGGGAAATTTCAGACAGATCTGAAAGAGAAGTAACAAAGCTAAATTTAAAGCTCAAGTAAGTTTCTGAGACTGTAAACAACTATTCTCCTGCTTAATTAGACTTTCTTCTATTTTACCATCTGCAGTGTCTAGCACAGATGGCTTGTATACATACTTGAACTTTTGTATTTAAACTCAAACATGCAGGCCAGCTTACTATTTCTACTACAAGTAGATGCCAGAAAAGTAACCTCTTTTATTGTAGGAATGTATTTTATGCTCCCAAGAGATGTCCTGTTCTGCAGAATGAACGAAAGATAAGTGACTGATGAAAAAAATGCATGGAAAATTAGCAATGGCATGTATGCAATGATTATGCAATCTTAACACTGTCTCTTCGTAATGCAATATGTATGTCACATTTTCCTCCAAGGCCTCTTCACCACTCAGGAGATGAAACAGGGGCATGACATGTGTATTATAAATATGGGTTCTGCAAACTAACAAATATTTTAGAGTATAAACAACTGACATTCAGACATACTATACAAATAGATGAGACTAGCATAATCTAAAAACAGATTACCATAGAAAAATATACCACAGTTCTACAGAAATGACCCTTGTCAACAAAGATACATAAATTCACACCCAACTATTTTATAGATCACAGTACTGTTCTTCCAAGAATCTTTAATAATTGGATTGTCTAGTCGACCTTCACTGACTTTCATTCATCCTGAATTGCTTGACGTTAGTCTTGCTTTGAAAAAGTAATACAGGATGATGACGACAGATTTATAAGTTATGCACTAAAGCATTGTGAATGGGAAATACGCTGGTCTGGAACTAATGGCACAGATTTTGCTCCTATTAAAAAGATCTATGATAAGTGAGATATGGTTTAATCATTTTCTTTTTATGTATTACAGCCTCTTATATATGAATTCCAGCTCTGCATTGTTTTACAGAAATTAAATATTTTGACTATTCTGAATTAGATTCTATAAGTATTAGTTTATTTTACATTCTATACAGTAATTGAATGAGCAAAAAGGAACAGCTCTGAAGCAAAGATGATAATTCAAAAAGAAAGTTTGAGGTGCAACAATACAAGCCATAAATTCCAACTAAAAAGCCTCACAATTAATAAAAACTTACAGAAGCTTGAAAAGAAATAAAGGAAAAAGAGACAGGAACATAAATAGTAACTGACACAGGACAAACACCATGTTCTCTTACTTAAAAAGGTGCACTGCAACGTAAGTAGATTTTAATGTGCAATTTTTTCCCTGTAAAATACATAAATAAAAGTTTGCAAAATATGTAAAATATTTCTCAGAAGAAA